TACTTACGTTACGTTACGTACTACTTACGTTACTACTACTACTTACTACTTACTTACTCTTACTACTTACTACTACTACTCTCTCTCTCTCTCTCTCTCTCTCTCTCTCTCTCTCTCTCTCTCTCTCTCTCTCTCTCTCTCTCTCTCTCTCTCTCTCTCTCTCTCTCTCTCTCTCTCTCTCGATAAAAAACACACAGAAATGGACATGAAGTGGGCACCTATTTCTATATTTGTACTAACTCGTAAATGTATATATATATTTATTAAGGATTACTTTGTGAAAATACAAAAGCAATTGATGTTTGCTTGGTTGAATTTTTTTGCGTATTTACAGGCGATTAAGTGTGATGGTGCCTTTGGAGAATCTTCACCATGTAAAAAGAATACGGAGGTCCACTTCTTATGGTATATTTTTGGCAAGAATAGTAATTGTTCATTATTATAAATCTTGGTGGTTAACTTTCGACTTGTTTTCCTAGAGTTTGAAAATGGAATGTGTTTGACTCTTTTTTTTTGGCAGGAAAAGTTGAGTTATCTGTGATCTTATGCCTTTCTGTTGATGAAGAAGATCCCTTAAAAGGAATACCAAATGATGTGCTTGAGCTGATAAATGAGTATCAGTTGCATCCTTTCATCTCAAGAGTGGGTAATTCTTCTATCTGTATATCTTGCTTACGGTTTTTACCTTCTATAGATTCAAATAGGATTTTATTGTTGCATTGACTGAAATGAATGCAGCTCTTGAATGTGTTTGACTAGTAAGTATAGAATTTAGAGGCTTGGTCATCATTGGAGAGAAACTCTATTAATATCATCAGTGTGATTAAAAGGGGTATCTCATAAAATAGAATGGAATAAAGCAAACCAAAAGGTATTGTTTAGTCCCATGAAGACTGGAAAGCGTGCTTTTCAAACACCAATGACGATGCTTGTAACTTTTATAATTTATACCCAGGAGGGCTGGCTGGGTGGCTGGGTGGTTGACAGATTAGTAAACATGGTTGTACTGGAAATGGCATATCGGGGTTGTGGGATCTCATAGCAATTTGGCACTCTAATATGGTTTATGCATTTTTCTATATCCTGTTATGAAGTTCTATTACCCATCAAATAAGGCAAGTATTTAGGTTGGTTGTTGGTAGGCGGACTGTTTAGCATTTATAGATTTGTTTTTTGTGTTTCCATTCCCTCTTATCTGGACTCCATGCATCATAAGCAAGCACTAATGCAAGAAACTAATATTTAACATTATCTTTGTCCATATACATCACTGGCTTTGTTCAGACATGCTTCACGGGTTCACATGAAATGAACAAATAATTTTCTAGAACATGTGCTCGTTAAAAAAATCATGTCTCATATTCATAGCTGGTTGGGTGATGCACAATGGCACAGAATTGCTCTATTTTCAAAGTGGCAGTCATGTTTGCTTCACTTTCTTGGTTACTTGTGGTTGTATCTTCCAAGATGAGTTTTTGTTATTTGATGAAGCTTTATCTACTTAGTAAGATAAAAAGAATGACTGCCCATTCAACCAAGGGCCTTCCAATTTGAACTTTCAATGGAGCTTGATTGGCCTGCTCATGCAGCTGGTCATTTGTGTGACCTACAGAGCCATGCAGGACCATTTATATACATAAAACCTTTTTTAAGTTTTACCCATTTATAGTTTGTTTGGATGAATTTTCTGCCTTTTATGGTTGCTCAGACTTACCACTAATCAGCTAAAATTTATTCAGGTTCCAAAGATTGCTGCTTCATCAAGGGAAGAATGGGTGCAACAATGTGTGCATTGGCCTACATCGTATCATCCACCTGCCAAGTAAGAAAAACTCTACAAAGAAGGAAACAAGAACTACCTTGGCTATTTTCTTCTTTTATTGGAAATCAGCTGACCTTGTGATATTCTCAGTTGGACCACTACATGTTCACACATACACGTGCACATATTTTCTAACATCCATACAAGGCAAGCAATGATGCTTAGCAACCTTGGAGATTATATAGACAGCCATTGTGTTTACTTTTATATTTTTGGTGAACAGCTTCAATAATGATCAAATGAAAAAAGAAAAGATAAATTTTATGAATGGATGAATAAGTTTTTGGTATAAGACATTTCAAATTACCTTATGAATAGGAATCGGTCTTGGGCTTGGGCTTGGGCTTGGGCTTGGTTTTGGGCTTGGGCTTGAATGGATAGCAGTTGAGGTCAAGCAACGCTACATCTCAAGTTCGATTCCTACCCCTGAACTACCCAAAAAAAAAGAAATCTTACGAATGCAATTGGTATGAATAACCAAAATATTTCTTTTCATAAGTGTGACGCTCATAGTTGCTTGGTGAATTCTTAGATAAGGACCTCTTTTACTCTTAACAATTGTTTTTAATTTTCTTATATTTTACTCATGGAAACTATTGTGAGTAGCTGTGCTAAAATATGCTAAATGAAAACACAGACCATGATCTTTGAGTGACCATTTGTATTGACAGAGACTTGCTTTGGAGCTACACTTTGTTTATTTGTCTTGAACTTTAGTTTTTTGAGGATTTTAACCAGTTCCATGTATTGCAATATACATTTGCTACGAGCCACAATTTATTTGGTTCTCATCAGTTCGAGATGCCCCTCTTTGCACTATCTTGGCAGATTTGTCTTTCTCCTGCCATTCTTTTTGTTCATGCCAAGTAGCAAGACAGAGCTCTAGACTCTATATTACTTGGCCTGGTTTAATGTCTCGTTCACCGCAGACTTTTCATGGGGTTAACGTTACATAGTTAGAAGAATCATGTAGTTTTAAACACATTTAGCTTAAAATGAAGATGATCAAAAAAACAAGAAAACAAAAACAAAAAACTAGTTTTCTCTTTGTTGAGTCGCTTTTTAGGCTTCAGGATATGGTTCGTAACTTGGGTATGGCTCATTTGTAAGTGCATGATTCTATTTTCCTTTTTTTTGCCTTTTTCCTTTGGCAGTTAATACCTTAGCCCAACATTTAAGTTGCACCTTGTAATAGCTGGAATCTGAAAATTTTTTGGTCGAACCATGTTTATTATTTAATCATTTAAGCTCTAAATAACGTTTAGATTATTGGTCTAATTGTTCTCTTATTGTTTTTATTTTTATAGAAAATTTCATTCTGTTTTATCCTTTCTAGTTGATTTTTTGGGGTGCAGTTTGGATGAAATTAATGTATTCAATGAGGAGGATTCAAAGGCAATCTTGGGCTTCATGACGTTGGCCATTGAATTGACCAAGTCTAGTCATCTTGATAATCAGGTTTGTGACTGTATTGCTCTTGCCCGGGAATCCATGTTATACAGATGAGTGATAGAATGTTCTTTTAAATAAAGGCAAATACTACAACCAACAAATGCAGAAAACTGTATTTCATTGGGTCATCACCATGCATTCAAATGATGAATGATGATGGAAAGTGGCCCCTCTACTTGGTCGTGTCCTGTTCTGATGGATCCCGTCCTTTCTCTATCACTTTCCATCTCTCAGATGGATGTTGATGACCCAAATTGAGGTTAATCCATAGTTCAGTTTTATTATTTAATGCCTTCCCTCTAAATAATAGAATTGCTTACTGTAGTTTAAGACTGGAGCTATTGGCATAACTAGATGGATTGAGTTTTACTGGTGAAGCATTTGGCATACTGAATTTCTTAGTTTGGTAATTTTATTTTCAGCATCACTGCTTGTTATTTTATCTCTCATGTTCTTTATGATTTTTGCTTTCGTTCATTTCTTGTGCAGGTGTTCAATGCTGCCATTATAGTCAATCCTTCAGCTAAAGTTATCGTTGCAAGTGCATGTGACCAAACTGACTCATGGCCAGCAAAATCAGTTTGTGCAGAGAAGACGAACTCTAATGACACCCTAACAGTAAGCAATGGGTTCCATATTTCAGATTACAAGCAAAATGGGGAAAAATCCTATGTGAATGTGGCGTGTTTAAATCCGTGGTCATGGTCTCAGCACAAACCACATACATGTAGTTCTCCTGTTGAACATTTGACAACACATCGATGGCATCCATTGAAACATGCAGCCTTAGTTGCCATTGGGCTTGCAGCTGCAAGGGATAGGATCCTATTCCTGGTCCCGGATCAGCCAAAGGATCAATCTGTGGAGTCAGGGTTTTCTTCTATAACCTCGTCTGTGAAAAGGCAAAAGACTGAGGTTTCCAAAGTAAGCTTGCTCTTACCCCAACTGCCAAGAAATATCGAGTTCATTGGAGATCATGATAATAGATTGAATGGAGAATTAGTTATGCAAACATTTGTAGTGGAATGGCCTCTCTCTCTCTCT